TCCCCCCACTCAGAGGGCCTCCATGCTACTTACTTGTCCAGTGATCCACTGACTCGCCTGCCACCCCACCTCCTTGGTCAGCATCCTGTGACCTTCGTCTTCCCCTCTGAGCATGGAGGCAAAGAATCCTTGCCAGCTTTGGGCAATGTCACCTGACTGTCACTCATTTGCTGCTCCAGTCTTTGATGACCATACTGTCTCCTTCACCCAGATTCCTATGCTCTTGCTCTTCTGGCTGATAGCTTAGAAAAGAATTGCCCATGTTTCCTTTCAGAGATCCAGTCTGGATCCAAAGCTCCCCAAAAGCCAGGTGCTGGTTTTGACTTCAGGTCAACTGAATTACTGGAGCCACAGCTCTAATCCCTTCTTCAGCTTGGCATCTCTTCCAAACATATACTACTTTCAATGCTTATGCAGGCTGATCATTTTCTATTCACTCAAGCGCACCAGGCCACCAGGCCACGTATGCCGGTTTGTTCTCACAGGGCTCTGGCCAAGTGGGAAGCCATGCACACTGATTTATCCATGTAGGGCCTACTGAGATTGGTTTGTTGTTGTTGGTTTTCCTACAAAGCTGGGATGCTTGTGCCAGCCTGTTAGGGGTGGGAGCCTCACAACTACTAGGGGTGCTCATTGGCGTGGCATTCTAGGTTTGCTGTTGAGTTGCATCGTGCTGTCTTATAATGCTCAGGATTTTTGAAAGGGTAAAATGGCCTGGATGTGGCGTTCTCCCACTGTGATGGTGGCTTGGCCACATAAGGCAAAGAGCTGCTGTGGCCATGGGCTAACAGAGCTGGATGTTTTAGTTCAGGAGATGCTCATGTGATGAAGTTGTAGATTTAATCTTTGCAGCAGACAGCTTATCCTAAGGTACAGGGTTAAGCTAATGCTGAATTGCATACCTGGCTTGTTTTTCAGGGGTGTTCAGGAGTACGAGGCTGTGAGAATGCTTTGTGCCTGGTGGGTTGTTTGTAAGCACTGAGCTTTGCAAACTGCTAAATTTTGCTTGTATGGGTGCTGGGTTTTGCAGTTTTTCTGTTGCTTACCAACAGCTGCCTACGCTGCTTCATAGGGTCTTGGGGATGTTGGTTTTTATTTTAAAAAAGAATGCTGAATTTTTTACATGTGCCTTTTCTCTCTCACATAAAGACCTAAGGAAAAGTAGGTCAAATATGTTGAACTTCCAGATGCAACAGGTCTGTCTGAGTGCTGATTTACTAAGATGAGTGCAGAGCATGACAGCTACCTAGTGTGGAATGGCCCTTGGGAACAATTATGTCTTCCCATTGCCTGGGACACAAGAGAAACCTGTCCCACCTGTTGGTGGAGAGACCTTGATTGAAAGTTACCCATGGGTCTCTTCTAGCTGTAAAAAGGGGATAGACAAATTCTTGGAAGAAAGGAGCATCACTAACTATTGAGTCTGGGAGTGAGGGGCACAGCCTCTGAATCAGAACTTCCTAGCCCTTAAATCCTGGACGCTGCAAGTGAGAGAGGACCAGTGGAAAAAAAAACCCTGGCCATTCCCAGTTCACTCTCTCTTTCAGCATCCGCTCTCTGTCCCTGTGTGGCACAGGATACTGGGCAAGATGGGTATATGCCGATCTGACCCAGTAAATGGCAATTCTTAAGTTCTTTAAAAAGGTGACAACGTTTTAACAAAGGGAGGAAATTAAAACCATTTCAGATTGATCCAGTGATTTCCCTTTGGGACTGGCTCAGTGCATGAGCTGTGCTAAAGCTTCCTGTGGCCAGACCTTTTAGCATCTGGATGGGATGGAGGTAGTTGTTGCCAACAGTCTGCAGATGCAAAATGAAAGTGAACCACCCCCACCGAGAGAGACTGCCGACTGCTCTAGAGCAGACGAGAACCCGGGGACAAATGCCAGGCAAGACTAAATGAAAGCAGTTATGAGAGACGTGGACCTGACCACCCAACCACAAAGAAGCCTGATGGGACCAAGAAAGTTGTAAGCAGCTGTGCCAATGGAAAGATGCCAAGTCAAAGGAGACCTCATGTACATTTGTGGTTAGGTTAGTCTTCCTCAGCAAACCGTCCCTCCTTTGGCACTGAAAAGTGAGTCAGAGTGCAGCTAGAGACCCAAACCAAATGGCAGGACAGCCGGCTAGCAAGAGAAGATGCCTGAGAATTAACAGAAAAAATGCCCTTAGAAGAACCATTATTGAACTGTAACGTTCCAAGATTAATACACAGGCAAGAATCTTGGTTGATAAACTCCCAGAAAATGGGAGCCCTTCCATATTCCAGACCAACTGGAACAACTGAAAAGGGGACTGGCTTCAAGGACTCTGTCTGGTTTTATGTTGAGTAGCGTATATGCTTGGACAGGACATAAGCAGTTTGGGCGGAGCTGTAAAAATTCCTGTGCAGTGGAGATATGGCTAGTAAAACTCATGGTTATGCACTTCACTTATGGGTTTCCCCAGCTCTTAGATTTAAGGAGTTCCCAGACAGCTTGGCCTTAGTGAACTGTGGTGAACTGATGTCCTATTTGTGGTACCTGGAATACCGTGGAATATGTCTGCATCAAACTGGGGACTCCATTTGGTTTTACGACTTCCATTCTTCAACTCTATCCTCCATTTGGAGTTAGGACACTCATTTTGGGTAAAGGGCTGAACATATCTAACCTTGTCCTGGGTTGGGTGGATATGCTGAATCCCAGCTAGTGCCATGCTTGGGAGAGGTGTGGGACACAAAGTTGCTTGGCCAAGGGCATGGGACAGTAGCCTGAAGCTGAAAAGTCCCATAGAGGGATTGTGTCTCAGCTACTGATTGAGGTAGTTCAGGTTCCCTGTAGAGCCTGAAATCTCTACAGAGAAGCCTGGCTGGGAGTGTAAAACGTGGCAAAAAGGTCAGTGACTTTAAAATGGGAATGATTTCTGTCAAAGAGGAGCCACAGGTCAGATGACCAGGCTGAACAGAGGAAAACTAGAGGGCCTCTGCCTGACAGTAACCATGGACAAGACCTCAGGTGGACAGAATGGGTGAGATCCAACTTGGAGGGGGTGTACCAGACTAGAAGAGTGCAGTGAGCAGCTGATGTAGGAGCACTTGGGATTCATCAATTGGATCCATTCACAACAGGCTGGTGGGTGTCCACCCAGAGAGGAGGGCTGGGCTAGGTTGTAAGAGAAATGTCCATAACAGAACAGATGCATAAATAGGGAGCAAAAGGATTGAATCTGTGCTCAGGAGGAAAGGGTAGAGTGGTGTGTCTGTGATTATGCGCGCGCGCGCGCGCGCACACACACACACACACACACACACACACACACACACACACACACACACACACTTACCGCCCTCATGTGGTTATAATCTCTGGCCTGCTCAAGGTAGTGGTTGGGCTAATACCACCTTCTAGTGGCTAAATTATAAAAGGGCACTGGTAATTGATGGAGATTCACAATTAACTGAATAGGATAAGGCAGTGTGTTCAGAACCACTTGTACAATAATGAGTTATTGCAGAAGCAGGTGGGAGGAAGAAAGCCCCTTATAGGGTTATCCCAAGTCACAGGCACCAGAAAGTTCATTAGTCATTGCTTGTGCTTTTGGAACACAAGAACCAGTGTCCTGTCCCAGGTTACCCTGCATATACTTGAGGTTTAGCTGATGGTCTCAGTGCATGTGAGACAGGCATGGCATTTGGCCCAAAAGAAGTGGTGAGGGGCATGTGGGGGTTAGAGACAGAGAAGATCTATCTGGACAGTCCTTGTCTACTCCACTCACTCTCTAGCCAGTACAAGGCCATTTTTAGCAGTAGAAACTGGTTTTTTATGCTAATTTCAATGGAAATAGAGCCATCCGTATCGTATCCTGAGACCAGCTGTTTGTAGCTGCACCAGTTTCTGTGTACGTGCCTTGCTCTGGGAGCTCCCGTACACCATGGCGCTGCTGAGATGTCTTCCAACATGAATGTTAAAGGAATTAGAGACAGGTCTTATGCAATGCTGTTTAATGTTTAATGTCATTATTAATAAAGTGATCATTAAAAATGGGCAGAATACTCAAGAAAGGTCATGATTAAGTTCATCCTCAGCCCTACTGGCACATCACCATTCCCTGCAGTCTATTCTCCAGAGCTTTCTCCACTTCAGTTTGAAATGACTCAAGTGAGGGGGTTGCCATTGCTTCCCTTGGGAGCCTTCTCTGAAGTCAGATAACTATTGCTTTTAAGAAATGGCCCCAGCCCTTCAGTCTCAGTTTCCCCCTAATTTTCACCCTTTACTTTTGAAATTATATCCCTGTGGATTACTCTGCGTAATTCCTCTCCCTCGTTAAAACTCCTGTGTTTCAGTTAGTGTGTCCCTCACGCCATTACCTTTTGCCTGGCCTCCACATGTTCAGTTTTTCTAAACTTTTATTTCGAGCTCCTTTCAGAACATGTTCTGCACACGTGCATGTGTGAGAAAAGACGGCACAAGTGCCCTGCTGTCATGAACCCACAGGTTACACTAGTTAAACTGTGTGTGTGTGTGCACACATGTGTCAAGGTAATTAATGTGCGTGGTGTCTGTTTGATAATCAGAGGCTGGTGCTTCCCTCCTGTCATTACTGGGACCTTCCAAGCTGTTTGTGTTTTTCAAGAGGAAGTGCCTCAAGTGTGTGCCACACTAATGAGACTCAGTCTGATGAGAAAGGATGGCTCCCTTCTGCCCCGGCTGGTGCTGGCTTCAGGAAATGTGAGACACTGTTCAGGAGAGACCCAGGCCTGCACAGCGGGATAGGGATGAGATGGTGTGGAAGAGTGATGTAGTAGCCTACTTGTAGAAGAGAAGTAGGTGTTTCAGGGCCAAGCTGAGGTTCATGTGCAGAGGTGCACTGAGCCCCCGTGTGGGAATAGCCAGGCTTTCCCTTGGTTCAAATCGAGGTGCACTGGGGAAACGGAGGTAGCACAAAACCAGGAGCTGAGGAGACTCGGAGACTCCGTCCCTAGGACACTGGCTGGCAAATTTCCTTTGTGTCTTCTCCAGGACTCTCACAGACTTGCTGAAGCAGCCAGGCCACAGCCCCTCCGACCACATGGCAGACGGCCACGTAGGCAGTGTCCAGCTCCAGCTTGGTGAGGGCCTCACGCGGGGATCCCCCAGGAATGGCACAGGTAAGAGCTCATCTCCGACCAGTCTGGAGACAGCGGAAGGCCTCCAGTCTCTTTCTACTTTTCCAAATGGGCTTGGGAGAAGGGCACGGTGTCATAAGCACAGCAGTCAGGGTCAGGGAGCGGCTCAGAGGCCTGGCAGTTCAGGACAGGTGTGGGAAGAGAGCATTTCAGAGCCAGGGCTTTGTTTCCTTTGTTTTGTGGTGGGTTTATTTAAAGTAGGGCATGAAGTGCTGCTCAAGGCCTTGGGGAGGGGCGGGGGGGGGGGGGGGGGGGA